TGGAATGAATATGAATTTGTTTATATGTTCGTCGTAGTATTCTGTTCTGTTACGTATTGTATCGTATCGACTTCGCAACAACTGCCAGTTTACCGCTTATATTATTGTATTTCGTAATTGGCCTCGGCTGCCCCCTCTCTCTGCGAAAGCAGCACCGACGGCGTCGAACGCGCCATGCGACAATGTCCATAACAAATCCGATAGTGCAGAAATGCGGTTTGATTAGCCTGCTGGAGTTATTTCATTTCGCGTCGAGTTATTTCACTTCGAAAAAGAGTGTTCGCTCTTGCGTCATCACAAATATTGCTGGTCTTCATTTCATTTCATTTCATTTCGTTCTCCGAGTTAAAAGACAACGATGCTAGTGCATAGTAATAGCTTGTGTACGGTTCTTTATGGTTGTGTAAGCTGAGAAACTATTCAAAAATTAAGTGTTGTTTTTGTCTTCAATGTGCAGGTGCAATGTAAAACCAGTAAACTTTGTTGTAAATTCGAAAATATTGCATACAAACTGGTTGTGTTTATTCAGAATAAACAATATGTGATTTAAGTTCTGTGTTGCAAGTATAAATAATTCAATAACAGAAAACATACTGTAAGATTGATTTTGCAATAGTGAAATTTATTATGTATCTGAAAGTTTAAAAGTTTTGTTTAATCTTAAATTATATATACCGCGTGTAAATATAGGTATATAAGTATAAAGATATTATATATCTCTATTTTATACTTAAGCATGTGTAACTATTAATTTATAGCTATTTTCCAGAAGTTCAAACAGTCCTTTTGTGTTATTTATATAAATTCCTATATTTTCTCTGTTGTTTTCTAATCAATGATCAGTTATACTCTTCTGTTTCTATATACTATTTTCATTGGCATTAGACAAGAAAGCTCCTTGTAAATATGTTCATTCTTGCTTAGATTTTTGGCCTTGTGTTTTTCTAATTTTATTTGTTTGAATTTCTGATGGATCAGAAATAACAAAGAAATTGATCCAATCACAAGTAATGTTGAAAAGCGATTGGTGTTGACTGTTATCGGCAGGAAATCTGGAATTATATTGTAATATTTGAACTACAGTAGAACTCCAATTATCCGAACTCCAATTATCCGAACTCCGACCATCCAAATCGCCGATTATCCGAATCACTTTCAGAAAAAAAATTGTCCAAAAAAGTCTAAGTGCGCTATTATTCTTCCACCAGCGAAGCCAGTGTAGGCACATTGTTTGTTTTGATTTGACGGAGATGTTTACAAAACAATGATTTTCATTTCTAAACTTGTACATAAGTACATTTTATTTATATTTAAAACATGTGAAAATGTCATGTTTCTTTCATTTAATTCAATAAAAAATAGTGCAATATCAAAACGTAACTTTTTTTCTCTCCAATGGAAATTTAAAAACAAACTCCGATTATCCGAATATTTGATTATCCGAATGGGTCCCGGTCCCCATTAATTCGGATAATTGGAGTTCTACTGTATAAAGATATTATATATCTCTATTTTATACTTATGCATGTGTAACTATTAATTTATAGCTATTTTCCAGAAGTTCACACAGTCCTTCTTGTGTTATTTATATAAATTGTTCTATATTTTCTCTGTTGTTTTTAATCAATGATCAGTTTATACTTTCTGTTTCTATATACTATTTTCATTGACATTAGACAACAAATCTCCTTGTAAATATGTTCATTCTAACTTCCCGTAGGGTAAGTTATTGTAATGGGCCGAAAATCGGAATTGAAAATTTTTACTTTTCTCGACGTTTTGAAGGTTTCTGAACATTTTGGCATACCTCAGAAAAAATGGATGTGTGTGTGTGTATGTATGTATGGATGGATACAAATTTCCAGTCACGTTTTCGGGCGCACGGATCAACCGATTTGAATGGTTCAAAACATTCGATTCCTATTGATAGGGAGAAGAGCTGATTAGTTTTTGGCTAAGGCAGGTCCAGCCGTTTCAGAGATACGGAGCAAAGAGTGCAGAAAATAGAAATCGACTTTTTGAGAGAACGGAGTATCCGATTTGAATGATCTAAAAAACATTCAATTAGTAATGATTGGGAGAAGTGTTTATTAGTTTTTGGCAAAGGCAGGTCCAGCCATTTCGAAGATACGGAGCTAAATATGTAAAAATGGCAGTTTTTGAGAGAACTTAGCGTCCGATTTAAATGATTCAAAGAACTTTCTGCTTGTCTTAACAAAATAATTAATTTTGGAAAAAAAATTTGTTTCAACTTTTTTTTTTTTTAATTTTTTGTATATCGAAAATCAGATTTTATTTTTAATTCTGACTATAGTTCTAATATACTTTACAAATAATTTCAACTTTGCAATTTAGTTTATATAATTCTTATAAATATTTATAAGACAATGTTACAATATTAATAATAATCTATTTGAAAACATTCAGTATTCCTCGAACATTTCGTTACGGTACGGGAAGTTCCAGCAATTTGCCTCAAGGTACGATGCCACCCACGCCACTAGTTTCTAACTTTATTTGTTTGAATTTCTGATGGATCAGGTGTTGATAAAAAAGAAATTGATCCAATCACAAGTAATGTCGAAAAGCGATTGGTGTTGACTGTTATCGTCAGGAAATCTGGAATTATATTCTAATATTTGAACTAATTGTAAATACTGGGGAAGCGTATTAGCCAACAGATGAATACTGCACTACATTGCATAAAGCAATCGATCAGGATCGTCAACGTCAAAGCATATACAGTAGAATCCGCTTACTTAGTATTATGACGTCGAAGGGACACCAAAAACTCGTCATACAAAGCATACTGAACAAAAAAACCAATTTTATGTAAATATGTATGTACAGTGGATGTCCATTAGTCCGGGACTCTCGGGACTATCGAAAATAGCAGGCTCTCGGGCGGTAATTATAAAAACAATTAGGTTAACAAGTTAACTGTTAAAGTTAACTACAAAAGTAGTACAAAGTGGTGAAAAACAGTCTTTATTTAAATGGGGCGTCAGTAATTAGCAAAAGGCAAAAATAACGGTTAATGTGTCTTTGTTTTTTAAGCAGGCAAGGTTTTTAGGCTGCTTTTTTTCCCCAGTAACCGGAGATGTATAATCATGCCAGTCATTATAACTGGACATATATAAAAAATCAGCATGACCGACATGTGAATGTAAAGGAAGCCATTATATCCAACTGTTTCATAAAGAATTCTATAAGAAAACTAAAGTTCGTAGTATGATTACGCCATAATAAGCGGATTCTACTGTATGTTTATTTACACATACATATTGTATACATTATATGTATATCATATTTATAGTTTTTCATAAAAATGTTTATATAATCGCGTCCTGTAGAGTTCTTCATCTGTTATCTTTCTCAGCTTATTTAATCTTCCCCATTCCAGCATTTTGAAACTCTTCAGGTTGTCGTTGTTTAGTTATTTTTCCTAGGATTCATATCGTTGACGATTGACGGTCTTGAGTTGAACGAAATACTATATGGTTAAAACAAAGCTCTAATTTTCAATTGCTGTCGTTTTGTTACTTGGTGTTAAGTAGGAATTAGCAAGCATACAAATGCAATTATATAAGATACATGTGTTCTATCTGTATCTGAAATTCCAATGATGTTTTCCACTTTTAAAATGTAATTCCTAAATGCAATATAAAGGTTAAACGTGTGCAAAACTAATGTGGGAAAAGCATTTTTCTCATGGCATATTTCTACTTCGTCTATTGAACTTTAAAATACTATCCAAGAGCCATATGTTGGTTTCGCACAAGGATGGAAATGCCGTTCCGTTTATTTATGACCTTGCCGTTCTATAATTCTAAGAAGAAACCTTTAGCAAATCGTTTTTACAATCGTTGTACGGATTATCTTCAAAGTATGGTTAAAAGAAATTTATGTTTTGATTAGGGTTATTATCATGCTTTATTATGATCATTTGAATTGTTTACTATTTGTGAAATTGTCTTTAGGGGACGTCCATTAATCACGTGATTGACTTTAAAAGGATTTTTCCTCCTCCCCCTTGTTGATAAGTGGTGATATTCAAAATTACCCCCCTCCTCCTCTCCATCACCAAATATCACGTGTATTTTTGGTTACATGAAAAAATTGTAAAATTCTTGAATTTTTTTTGAAAATGTTTGGATTTAGTAAAAAATTCAGGTAAAAAATAAATACACCTACTATACTCCTTCCCCTCCGCCTAAAACCTTGCGTTATTAGTGTACGCCCTCTTAAGTTGATAAAGTATTTAGTTTATGTGAAAATTGAACTGGTGGTTGTGCTGCAATGGCCTGCTAACCAGTTCAATATTTATCACGTATTGCTTCTGAAATCTTGTCTATCAAATTCATGACCCATAATTCTTTTTGCAACGAGCGTCGTTTATAGACGACATAGGCTTGACGACCTGTATGTAAAAGTGTAGTTCAAAGACGACATCCAGTGTGTCTACTCATGCTTCAACATTTATTGCTCTGAATGAAATTATTAAGAAAATTTAATTTGTTCTTGTAATTTATAGTTCTTTAGAACTGTAATTTTCAATGTTTAAATACATTTTAATTGATGATGATTGATATGATGATATCTTAAAATCAATTGTTGTGTCTGCGGGAAACTCATGGCCTCATATCCACCCAGAATTATATCACTTTTTCCTTCGACTCCGAATTCCCGTATGTCTTCGCACAAAACTTTTGGGTCGAAAGAAGCGATCGCTTCATCCTCTCACTACCAAAGCCACTCTTTTCTCTACGTTTGAGTTCATATAGAAGGTTCATCGTTTTCATACGATGACCCTTTGCATGTGAAAATGTTGTTTTGTTCTTGGGATTTGTGTTGTAAATGTTGTTAGTCGAAATCTTATATGAGAGGTAATTAAATATTGTGGCTATATTTTTAACACTACACATTGAGGATGGAAACTTCTAGGAAAGAGTGTACTTAGCATATAAAACTTACTTATGGCTTTTTTATTTATTTAAGGATATAATAAAAATAAGCTTTTTAATTATTTCTATCAATTACCGAGAATAATTATATATTTTCTGAACTGTGTTTTTTTTCGCAAGCATTGCACAAAGTTCTACACAATTTTCTTCATAACAAACTTAGTAAATAAAATCGCTTTTAATGTATCTATTTTAAGTCGTGTCAAGCACAGTTTTATCGGTTCATATTTATAAAAATATTGCAACTTGAAATATATTTAAAATGAATATTGAAAATAACAAGTTTTCCTGAACAAGAAAACTTGAATCCGGGACAAATATTGCATTCAGAATAATTCGAGATTCGGGGTGGAAATTAGGAACTGTCCCGGGCAATTCGAGACTTATGGTCACCTTAAATTAAAAGATTTAAGAAAATTGTTTTTTCCAGCCCATTCCGGGTTCTTTATAACCCTTACCTGTGTTTACAACAAGATTCTTTTGGTTTCTATAAAATTAATTTTTAAACTAATTGAAAATACAACGAATAAACCAAAATGTTTTGCAAGTAATTATAAAAATGAGCGCTATTAGTATTAATCTTGAAATTTGTATATTGTGAGTTAACGTTTTTTTCTGATGAGATGAGAGAAAAGAATAGTTGATAAAGGATAGTTTTGATTTAATAATATGATTTTATCAATTCTTTTTAAACCTGCTTAAACTATTTTCTGTACCACAAATATCTAGAATGGGATAGAAATCTATAAAATTATATTATAGTTCGACTTTCAATAAAATATTTTCTAACCACAGCTAATAATTCAATTCAATACTATTAGTTTCTGAGTTAAAATTAATATACCAATATTGAACAATTCTAATTCTAATAGTGACTCAACATAATTTGCGACTTTAATTAAAATAATTTGAACAATTTTTATAAAAGATGCTGATATTAAAATTCAGCGCCTCCTCCAACCGTTTGGGCTTCGAGCATATTATAACTACAAAGCCTATGTTGCCTATGTTTTATTATATTTTATATGATTATATTTGATAAATGATGTAAGGCATTTTGAATATTATATAATACAATATTTGTATTCGTGTTGAAACTGTTTGTCGTAAGATTTCACTTCATGATTTTACGTTGAGTGATGTAAATCTCGATTGTAAACAGCGTAACGGAATAAATGTTACCTAACATTTTCCCGAATGGGGATTGGATTATCGCTTCATGTGGAGGTAATAATTAGACAAACATAACGAGGAAATGATTTCATATAATATCAGTTTTCTTTAATTTTTAAATGACAGTATTTGATCGTGTATCACACAAATAATGAATTTGACTTTTATTGGGAAATATTAGTTTTTATATGTCTAATTCAAGTGAAGTATAGATTATGCCTTTTTTGAGATGCCAATTTCTACTTACTAACGATAACATTAATTGCAGAACCTCGCCGAAAAACTCTGTAAGTCAACGTGAGCGGAGACCAGATAGACAAGTATATGTGCCTCGAGCGAGACGAGACGCCGTTGCGCAAACAGCCAATTCTCCCCTTAAGATGAACCACGAATCAAGTGAATATTCTCAACAAAACAATTGTGATAAACTCAATATGTACAAAAATAAAATGTCGTCCAACAGTAACGAAACAATTAATGTAAAAAAAAGTAACTTCGAAATGAACGGAAACGGTGATGATTGGAAAGATAAGCTAATGGATGAGGATCGGGATTTGTTCGAACTGCAACGCGCATCGGAAGAGATCAACAGGAGTAACAGAAGAATTATGAAACAAAGTTTCAGATCAGATGTACTCATCATTTCCGACGAACAGAAAGAGAGAAAATCTGAACCTACCAAATCGGAGAAAAAGACAATCGAAAACAAACGTAATGTTGCGTGCACGAAAGAAGAACCTATTATAACAGTACCAAAATCGACACATTATGGTACATCGGAATCTCACAAAATAAATCCGGAAGAGGATGACTGGGAAGCTATGTATGATGAAAATGGTGACTGTTTAGATTCAAAGCTTTGGGAAGACCTCACGCATATGGTAGGAAAAGCAACAATATCTCCCCAAGAGAGTAATAGCGAAAAATCACTTCAAAATAAAGATAAGTCATCTACGATATCAGATGACAGTTTTGCACATGTTTTAGAAATCTATGACTTTCCTGCCGAATTTAAAACTCAAGATCTTTTATCAGTCTTCTCGCCCTACAAATCGACTGGATTTGAAATCAAATGGGTAGATGACACGCACGCATTAGCAGTTTTTAGCAGTGTACAAATTGGTACGTTTTTACTATAGGTGTAAAATTGAAAATATTATGTATCACTATTTATATGTCATTTGTATTCATCTATATTTTAACCCTTCCCACTCGGAAGTCTCCCTGAGGGAACAACGTAAGTCTAGCTTATCGCTCGGCTGTTTCCTCTGAGGCACTCGGCAACTTGTATACACATTGGCTCAGTTCCTATTGAAGCGTCGAATATAATAGATCAAGGATTTTATTTTTCTGCGGCCTTGACATTTTATTTATTTCATCATCTTTCTTCCATCAACAAATTATAATGTATTCATTTCTTACGATTTATTACAATTTTCCGTGCAATGATAAAAAAAATCTGGCACGCTAATTAATTAATACGAATAACGCAGAAAATAATTTTACAAATTCAATTCAAACATATTGAATAACATACAATGATGCGCAATAATTAGTTTAGAGCAAGTACGTTTTCGTCAGAATGTGGCACCGAGTTGGTGGTAGATTGTTTTTGAATCAGTGTCGAGCGGTAAGGGTTAATAGTGTAATATAATTTATAATATTTGGTTTAACGGTTGTGTTCGTTTGCATTAAATTAAACATATCAGAAGTTGCATGCATTTGCTTGAAGGGTTACTTAATGTCTTCTGTGAACAATAAGTATAGGATTTTGATTTAAGCAACCTTACTTTCAATAGTTTTGTTCAGTACCTCAATAATAATTATATGCTATAACTTAAGTATTTTGAATCAGCCCAAGAGGCATTGTCACAAGACCTGCCGTTCGTGAAAACGCGGCCACTACGCGAAGGTACATCAGAGTCGAGGCAAAAGGCTCGCCGGTGTGCGGAATTTTTGCAACCGTATCGCACGAGGCCTGAGACGTGTCCGGCATTAGCTCGCCGGTTAGTTAGCGGTGCATTGGGCCTGCGCCTCAAGACGGCAGCTGCGGACCTGGAACGCGAACGCTTGCTGCTTAAAGAAGCCAAAGGTACATTTCAGTTTATTTTGTAGAATTAACCCTTTGGAGACGAGACGTGCCGAGCTCTTGCCACCATAGTCATTTAAAATTGCCTATGCATACTTCTGCTCAACGGCGGCTTTAGTTCATAACACTCCAAGTAACACTCCAAGTTACATCGACATGTATTTTGGTGGGACAAATATATGCGTTTCTCGGATATAACAACTGCTTTCGCCAAACGCATATATCAGTTCTTCGGCCAATTTGATGATTTGCGTAAATCGAATATATGCGGCGCTCGTCCTCAAAGGGTTATATAGTATTTTATGATACTAAATAAAATACGGATAATTCAGAAACCATTTAACCTGTACAATTATTATCATTAACCTTCCGTCGGTCGGCGTGGTCTGACCAGACTTTTTTCGACTTCAATTAAAAAAAAAAATACTTCTAGTAATCCTATCGACTTGAAATTTCTTGACTTTTCCTAAAATTTCATTAGCTGTCGATCAATGAAAAAAACAGGACGAAAAAATGTACAGAAGGATAATTATAAGGATATTAACTTTTTTATACTTCGAACGGTCGGAAAGGTCTGTCTAGACCACCCATACATTTTGTATGAAATATACGCTTTTTGATATATTTAAACCAGTATTTTGTCTTTTTTCATGGTATTTTCTATTCAAACTGCGTTGTTTATATTCTTTGCTATGTGTTCTAACATGAATGTTAGTATTTTCATGACGAAAGTTTCTTGAAAACCTACCAAACTTATTGGTAATCGCAAACACTGAAAATCGGATGAGTAATGCACACATTCATTTCAAAGGCGCCGAAAAAGAATAAATATTGTTTTCCATTGATTTAAAACAGAAAAATTAACAAAAAAGCAACGATATTTTTATATTTCTTGATTTTTTTTATATAATCGTTAATACATCAGGCACCAAAAACTCATTTATCCCATATAAATGCATGTGGTCCAGCCAGACCTTTCCGACCGTTCGAAGGTGAAAAAATATCCGACCGACGGAGGGTTAATCGTTGCTTTTAGGCTAGAAATAATTTTATTACAAGCTAAATCAATGATGTTTGTAAATTATTATTTTACTTTAACAGTATCGACATTGGTCTTTGCCAGATCTTGGCCAATTCGTTTTATTCCAAGAATTTAAAATAATTTTATTAACGAACTATTGAACTATTCCAGAAAGAAAATTATTAGCAATCCGCCAAAGAGATGAAGCGTGGGAGCAAGAATATACGACAAGGACAGGAAAATAATTTTTTTATAAAAGATTTTACATAGTATGATGGATATAAGTTGTAACAAATTCAATATAAAAAGTGTAATATGTTTTATTAGAAGTATATAATATTAATAAAAAGGATAAAGCTTTTTTCCTATAATATTTCCATACATATATGGAATTATAAAGAAGGAAATAGATGGGATTATGTGGAAGTTTTTCAACTGTTTTGAAGATTATGGTTATTAACAATAATAACATAATACACAAAACATAACAATAATAATAATTAATTAATATAACAATAATACGCATCTATAATAGGTGTAATAATAAAAATTGGTCCATCTGATATTAGTTGTGAGAGCACCATGTTTTGCACTTTTTTTCTAGTCCCAGAATCGTTTTCCTTTGTAGTTTTCTTAAAGGAGTAATGGAGTTTTCTGCTTCTGTTTGCTATGCATATTACCTTTTTGTAGTCACAAATATTAAGTGGTAACTATTGGTTGTTGTTTTGATGTTTACTACTTTTTTTTATAAGTGTAGTCTATTATTTTATGTCACCCTCTTCGGTTTCGATAATCAATTTATCGTTATTGTGTTAGCAGACATTCACCAATCAAAGTACATAGCATGCTATTACTAGGCTTAATTTTAACAGATAAAAAAGTAGACATATTGTTGTACTATATATGTTTATACGAGAATGTGCACATGCACAGAATTCCGAATTTATTCATTGAAAGAACAGAACTATATATAATTGGAAGATTTTTAATATGAATTACTAATTTCATACCTTATATCTAAATGTTAGGATAATCTAGAGAAATAAATACAACTATCATATTTAAGTGGGCGTACTGTATATAACAGATTTATTTATAGGATTCAAAAGAGTCAGAAGACTATGGTTGCAATACAGGTAGAAAGACATGTGCCTGTGTTGATCATATTGTAAGTATTATAGTCTATTTAATACAGCCAGTAGAGGTAAAGACGTAGACTAGCAAACCCTAGTTCAGGTTTGATCCCAACCTCGGTCACCTCTGTATCGGGCAGTGTGATATCAGATTTCTACCCGAGATCATAGATCTCAAATATGATCTTATTTTAGCATCTTGCTATGCTTCCATGGAAGATTGTTTGACCCATGCGCTAATTGTATTTATTTCCGTGTCTTGCAATTAGTCTTATGTTTATTTATCTCTAGTCATTGCGTTCCTGCCATATAAAATTTTGGTGCTTTCAGTAGTACACAAGAGGTGTTCACTTAAGTGAAACCTGTTCTTTTGTTTTTATTTATTTTTTAAACATTGATTTTTTTTTTAATTTTATTTTCAATAGCAATCAGAATACAGGACAATTTTATGAGCTAGTTGGCTTATGTCAATCACTCGATCTATTAATCTGATTAATATTATATTGATAATTAGAGAATCACTTCGATTCTACTATTCTGTTCATATAAAGTTGCGGTAGTTCTAAGAGTCCTCTATAATATCTTTAAGCAGCTTCTTCTTCAGTCTTCTTGAAATTGGTGTCTTAAAAAGCATTGAAATTTAGCATTATTTTTTTTATAAACATCTGGTCGTTATAGTTTGTATGAAGTTTAAGGTACTATATATATATATATATATATATATATATACAGTAGGCCCTCGCTTTACACGGCACTCTGGATACACGGTTCCCATACTACACGGAGCTAAAAATCCGACATCCCTCCGACTACACGGACTTCTTATTACGCGGTATTTGGTCAACAGCCCATAAGTTCGTTGTGCAAAAGAGTATTGATGTAAATTTTGTTATCGACTTTTATCTTTTAGACATGCCTGATTGTATAATAGCCGCCTAAGAACACGTTTGAGCTGACTACTGCGTCGCGCCAATTTTTGAATAAGGTGTCAATGTCCTACATGTCATTTCGTCCGTATTTCTCCTACTTCAAGTTGTATTTCTTGGTCTCCATACAACGCGATAAAAATTGTGCGATTTGTACCAACTCTGAGTCTCTCATAACACGGTTCCCATACTGCACTGTGTAAGGTTCCATAGAACGCACTACGAATTAGCCTGAATTGTATGGTAAATACGAGTTTCTTATAGCACGGTTCCTATACTGCACGGTACGCACTTGGCGCGTAAAGCGAGGGTTTACTGTATATAATACTATAACAACCCAATTTTTATACATTCTAGTTTTAAAATTTTATTTTTAGTTTCCACCGAATGAAGACTAAACTATAGCCAAAATGTATAGATTTTAGAATTAGAAATTCATGTTTTTATTGATGTTATTCCCGATTGTTAGACTCTGTTCATATATTTAATTAAATTAAATTTTCTTTATTATTTTTCACTAACATGACTGCTACTTGGGTATTGTTTCATGGAATGTGGTTTTTGTGTTTTATTGTTTTTTTTTCGATCTTTTGTGAGTTTTATCCAGCAAGGAAGAGTCAAATTGGAACTCGAAACGTATGTAAGTTCATTAAAATAATTTAAAATGAGTTTATAAAGATTAAAATACAATTCTGATCAATCATAGATATAAGAAAAGTATATCAATAAAACTCTTCTTGAAAGATTGCGCGCCACCTATGCGGCTATCACACCTATTAGTATAAAGATTCATGTCTATATATAACAATTGTTTGTGTCAATGGTTGTGTAGGTCTATGCATATCCTAATCTATGGGTCTATGCACCTGTCATTCCATCTATAAACGTATGCACCTCTATGAACGTCGTTAATAATTGTAATTAAGGAGACAACAAAAAATTTGCAAAGTTGTAAACATGTAAACATCAATCATACCCATTATTTCATAACCTCCGATTTTATTTTTTTATTTCTTATTTATAATGTAAGTTTTAAGTGTTAAATTTTAAATTTTAATCTAAAAAACAATACAACTTGCGGAAAATGGATAACACAAATAAATTTATACTGGAATTGATAGATAACTGCATTCACAAGCTTTTAAGAAATTTAAGGATAGTCGGTGAGTGTAAAAAATGAATATAATTAATTATAGCATAATGCAATTTGAGCAAATTTCATTATGCAAAGCAATACTTTTTATATTAGTATCATATATATTCTAGGTTGTTTGATTTTTATATATTTTAATATTATATAAATACGGTAGAATCCTCAATAGTATGACGTCGAAGAGAACGACATATGCGTAATTATAAATGGAGGTTATGAGCGATTTGTTTTAAAAAAAACATCTTATGTAAATATATATATATATTTATTTGTATATATGTATTTAAGTATTTTGATAGATTTACACAGTAATTACATTACATGTAGTTATAATGAAATGCATGTAATACATTTCAATACAAACATATTAAATGAAAATAAAATTTACACTTAAGTATATATTATGTAAATACAAATATATTATTAAGTAAATGTAATTATAATTTTTACATGTTTTTGCATACTATTTGTTTCTATCAATATATCTATAAATTTTACCATATTTTCGGTGTCTGTCAAAGAATCTGAGTTTCGGTTAAGTAACTATAATAATGCTTATTATAACTATAATTATGCTTATTTAATTATGACTATAATCTTGCTTTTCGTGAAGCAAAGTAATTGCTTGACGGTCATTATAACAGGAAATATATTTTTTTTAAATGCGCAAATAATAAGCAACATGTCACTTTATAGAAAGTCATTATATCTGTTATAAAAAAATGTATATAAAACCAAGCTTTGAGTGTAATTACGGTATAAACGGTTGGTCGGTATATACGGAGTCAAACTAAGCGGATTCTACTGCATATCACACAATATAATAAAATAAAAAATTGTAATTGATTACGTATAATGTTTTAAAACTATTCCTAATATTATTAAGAACAATGACTACTCAATTTTATTTTGTACGATGATTTATGATTTATTTAAAAAATATCTTAAGTGGATTCTTCGATTTATTGTCGAATTTACTATTTATATCATTTTTATTTTATTCTTTGATTAGTAAGGGACATTATGTTACTCAAAAATTTGTTATTTCAACAAGTTTATACATATGTTTATTTGTTCATATAATATCTATCTGTCTAAAAATAATGACTTACCGGTACGAGTATGAAAACATTTATCCAGCAGCAAAATCATAATGTTGCCATATACGCGTTTTATATTCTAGACAAAAGATTTTGTTTGATATCTTTATGAGAATAAGTGTATCTTCACCAAACTTAATGTATTTTTAACTTTTAGTTATAGTAATCACAAAAAAATCGAACATGAACATTTTTATGTTTACGATTCAATCCTTCTGAACTTTAAAAAATGTATGTTGTATATGTATGCGCGGATACAACTTTTCCTCTCGACGATTTCGAGAATACGGGTTAACCGGTTCGAGTGATTCAAAAAAAATTCTATTCTTATTGTTGGGGAGACGTGCTGATTAGTATTTGTTAAAGACATATATGGGCGTTTCAAAGATAGGGGGCAAGAAGTGCCGAAAAAATGCAATTCGATTTAGCACGTCTAGCCGTTTTGCAGATACGGAGCACAAAGGGTTCAAAACATAGTCCATGGTCGTGCAGTTTATGAGAGGATCATCGGATTAGAATGGTTCGAAAAACATTTTGAATGAGTTGACTGTGTAAAAAAATTGTTTTATCTAAACTTTCAAAATCTTCAAACAAAATCAAAAATTTTAATTTTCGAAATTTTTCAGTATTTTCAAAAATAAATCAAAATTTTGAGAAATATCAAAAAACATCAAAATTTTTGAAATTTTAAAAATATCAATATTTAAAAAAACGATTCTTTTTGAAAAAATTGAAAAACTAGTGGGGCGCATGGCATCGTGCCTTAATGCAAATTGCTGTAACTTTCCGTACCAAATTTTTTTTTTTAAAAAACATTAACATTTTTTTTGAAAAAAGAAAGACTTTTTGAAGAAAAATTTATTTTGAAATATTCTGGAAATTCTGAACTTTTTTTCAAAGCAATCGTATTGCTTTAACTGCACAAAGACGAAATATCGAAGCGCGTAAGCGCCGCGTTGCCGTCTAACGGATAAGCATTGGTACGGAACCCATAGGAATGTAAACAAAATTTATACTTATTGTTAAAATCTCTATAAAATATCTGTCTGCATATGTCTAATGATCATTTTTGACCGCCAAATGGCATTTTTTTGTACTTTTTTCACTAGATCTCCGAAACCGCTAGACCTGCCATTATGAAAATCAGTTCTTCATTTTGTTAATACAAATAAAATGTTTTTTGAATTATTCCAATCGGACGCTCCTTTCTCTTAAAAACTGGGTTACCGTTTTTGGCACTTTTTGCCCCATATCTTCGGAACGGCTAAACCTGCTTTCGCCAAAAACTAATTAGCACGTCTCCTTATCAATACGAATCGAATGATTTTTTAATTATTCAAATCATTTCATCCGTGTTCTCGAAATCGTCGACGAAAATTTGTATCCGCACACACACACACATACATCAATTTTTTCTAAGGTATGCCAAAATGTTCAGAAAGTTTTGAAACGTAAAGATATATAAAAATTTTCATTTTCGATTTTTTGTGATTACTATAACTTGCCCTACAGGAAGTTAAAAATGCTTGTAAACGTACACATAAATTGTTTGAAGAATATGCTTGTTGCCCAGTTTGATGAACATTTATGAATTTACAGTATTTATTATAATCATCTATTTGAAAATATTTGAAACAATTGTTATTAATTATTGAAGAATTTTCTTTGATATTGACTATTACGGTACGGGAAGTTCCAGCAATTTGCCTTACGGCCATGCACCACTGGTTGTAAACTTTTCTGATTCTGAACGAGTACAATGCAATCGACTACATTGAGGCATCTATGAAAATGGCAGAGACGGTGTATATTTTTGTCTGTGTAGTGGCAGTAGTGGCACCCATACGAACATCCCCTCCCGAATGAGTTTCTTCGTTACCGGGCTAGGTCGAACCTTTGATAGTTTTGCGTGTTCGTCGTACGACAGCTCAGTAGCTTTGCGTCTTCAGTAGTATACTGGCGTTCGGTGGTGTGGGTTATTTTGGTCGGTGTTGTGTGCGTGTGTGTGTGGAAGACAGCTGGTCCGTCCGGGATTTCATCGACAGCAAAAAATTATGTTATAGCAATAGTATTTCTCTAGACAACGGAAAATATTACATTAACAACGGACGTCATTTGTGTTTGTATTTCGATGAATCATTCTTTGTTCGCATAAATTATAGTTTTGCTAGTGACATGTCTGTAGTGCAGTGCGTTTATATGTGACTTAATTCAATTGTAGAACTTCATAGAGTTTGTTTGTTATATTCTGGTTATGCTATATGGGTCTCTCTGCACCTATTAGTTGCACCTGCAAAGCGGTAGATATTTTCGGTCCGCTGAAGAACAAGATGAAAGTTCTAAAAAAGATCAAACGTCGTATGGGTTTAGGTTAGTATTAAAAGAAAATTTCTCCAGATCTATATATAAACTTTTCGTATATATGTATATATATTGTATTCGTATTCTCCATTCGACGCTACGAAAGACAAAAATACACTTACGGCTTATGTTCAAATCTATTTGTGGGGTTCTAATCCGCAGGGGATAAACGAACCCCAATGATTGTAGTTTCATAGTTTCTCTTCACTATATGCTCGTTAGTTTGAAGTTTCATCCACTGGGATTATTGGTTTATTAAATATCAAGTATAAGTTTTTATGAAATCGTTCTTAATATTAATATATTTCAATTTCGTGTCGCTGAATAGTGCACATACATATTGGTTTTGAATTTTGCGCGTTCCATTTCCGTTGTATTTTTTGTTTTTTATTTTTATGATCTCATTGGTACGTAATGTGTGTAGAACAGAATATATGAGTTGAGTTTAAAAGACCTTAAAGCTTTTAAATTCAATTCGTATATATTATATTCACATCAAACTCGATATTTTAAACACACACCCAGATATACATATCCATATATATATATATATATATATATATATATATATATATATATATATATATAATTATTTATATTCATATATAAAATGTATGTTTATATACGACTGGAATGTGTGTGAACGACGAACGAATATTGTGGAAACGTAACTATCATAGTTAATTAAGGCTGCGTTTATTATATCTAATTCATACTAGTACGAAAGTATACTACTAAAAAAACTTAATAAATGCATGTAATTAACGATTTTATGAAAATGTTAAATTGCCAGGATTAAGAAAGGATGCACACAACATCGCAATTTTTACATATAAATAATGAATCAGATTTTACTGATTGTCTTTCTAATTCATCAGCTCGTTTTTACCACCCTATAGGGTTTAGAAATATTTTTACATTAAAATATAAATTCTGATTTTACTGAATTCATCGGTACATTTTTGCTACTCTATAGGTTCTAGTAATAATTTCACATTTAGGTATGAATTCAGGTTTTACTGAATTCTGTCTTTCTAATTCATCGGTAAATTTTTGCTACACTATGGGTTCAAGTAATAATTTCACATTTAGATATAAATGAATGAAAATCAGGTTTTACTGAAAACTGCATTTCTAATTCCTTAACTCATTTTTACCGCCCTATAGGTTCTGGTAATAATTTCGTGTTCCAAATGAATATAAAGGAAAAAGATTAATTGTATTTAATACTATATATATTTTATATTTGAATAAATATATTTGTTATTTGTTCACAATTCGTTCTCCAAAGTGTACTCTTCCAATGTAAATCATACTAATTATATTCTGGGTTATTGGCGTGGAACATTCATGGGAGTCGTACTTCCTTTGACTTTTTTTTTGTTTCTTACAACTTAGCTTATTAATTATTTCGTTTGCTTTTAAATTGAAGACTTATTTTTTTAGTTTACCTATTTATGCTAATAATAGTCAAGTATATAATTTATTTTTATAAAACTTAATAATAGTCTTTGCACACCTATCTAATTAATATCAATTGCAATACAATAATCGACTATAACACATTGGGTTTGAATATAATATGATATTGGAATTAAATATTTTTTTCCAATGTATAGATAGTTGCTGCATTCTGCATATGTTCGAAATTTGTTTAACTTGTTGAGTTTTTGTGTTGCTGCTAAAAATGAATAACATATGTTTATTTCAAACCATATACATATCCAGTTCATTTAGTAGTCCATAACTACTACATATGTTCTACAAATTTGAATTCATACTTCATCTGAGAATTCTTGCTACATTGAAACTATATAAAATTAACTTCTGATAATTATTGACATTGAACAACAGCTTCAGTTCATTAATCCCAGAATCAGGATGAGCATTATTACCTTTGAGCAACAGCTTCAGTTGTAGAGTTACTTTTGCACGAGTACGTGACTTCTATTAGTTTCTCAGTGTAATTATTACCATGAACATTAGGTCCGAAAAAATGAAGTATAAAGTTTTATTATTGAAAGCAAATTCTGGCAACAGCTGCTTCTGAATGCAGCCAGGTGTGAGCTCAACACAAAGGAATTATTGAACGTCCACGCAGCGGTGGCTACGGGTCGTGAGGGAAGATATCTGCTCATGTGTAATGCAGCCACGCTCCCTTCTCGAGAAACTTACGACAGCTGCAGTTGTAATAACATATGTGACTTCCGAAACGGGGATAGTACTGGCAGAAAGCAATTCGAAAACGAGCCTTCTGGGACTATGTTCTTTCCATAAGGATAAGATTTTATTGCCAAATGGTTATAAAACCTGATAACTTTTTCGTAAATTCGAGGTACAACTTCGGAATCGATTCGATGATAATGCCCATTTTGAGTTTCAAATTTGACATAAAATTATGCTTTAGAAGAATTTCATTAAGTCGGCACTGTTTTTATTTCACAATTTACAATTGGCTTTTTTTATTTTTTTATTTTATTGGCCTCCACTTTACAACATTTTTAGACACCTACATTATTCATATTATTTTTCATCATATTCTATACAATTATTACATATATATTTCTTATACATTCATTATATATATACTATTCTCTTCTTATATCCTAATCTTCCATTCAATTTTCATTCTTCAATTCTATTCAATTTTCATTCTTCTTCTTGTTTCTCAGTATGTTCTTCTCAACTTCTAAACTAAACTTCTTTTTTCCTTCTTCTTCCATTCAATTTTCATTCTTCAATTCTATTCAATTTTCATTCTTCGTCTTGTTTCTCAGTATGTTCTTCTCAACTTCTAAACTAAACTTCTTTTTTCCTTCTTCTTCCATTCAATTTTCATTCTTCAATTCAATTCAATTTTCATTCTTCTTGTTTCTCAGTATGTTCTTCTCAACTTCTAAACTAAACTTCTTTTTTCCTTCTTCTTCCATTCAATTTTCATTCTTCAATTCTATTCAATTTTCATTCTTCTTCTTGTTTCTCAGTATGTTCTTCTCAACTTCTAAACTAAACTTCTTTTTTCCTTCTTCTTCCATTCAATTTTCATTCTTCAATTCTATTCAATTTTCATTCTTCTTCTTGTTTCTCAGTATGTTCTTCTCAACTTCTAAACTAAACTTCTTTTTTCCTTCTTCTTCCATTCAATTTTTATTCTTCAATTCTATTCAATTTTCATTCTTCTTCTTGTTTCTCAGTATGTTCTTCTCAACTTCTAAACTAAACTTCTTTTTTCCTTCTTCTTCCATTCAATTTTCATTCTTCAATTCTATTCAATTTTCATTCTTCTTCTTGTTTCTCAGTATGTTCTTCTCAACTTCTAAACTAAACTTCTTTTTTCCTTCTTCTTCCATTCAATTTTCATTCTTCAATTCTATTCAATTTTCATTCTTCTTCTTGTTTCTCAGTATGTTCTTCTCAACTTCTAAACTAAACTTCTTTTTTCCTTCTTCTTCCATTCAATTTTCATTCTTCAATTCTATTCAATTTTCATTCTTCTTCTTGTTTCTCAATATCTTCTTCTCAACTTCTAAACTAAACTTCTTTCTTCCTCCTTACTGCTAATACAATTTTCTGTTGTATTTTACAAATTAACAATTCTTAATCTACTTTAATATTTTATATTTTTAATTCTAGTATTGCTGGAAATTCGAACCGAATTCCTCCAGCGTGTGAGTCGAGAACGCTACTGAGTGAGCTATTCTCGCCACACAATTGGCTTCAAGATTATATCTTTCTCGTTTATTTTTTTAAATTTAAATAGCGAATATTAGTATGCACTAGCAAAAGCATTCTCAAACTTGTGGAGTGCATGACATCGTGCCTTAAGGCAAATTGCTAGAACTTCCCATACCGTAATTAAAAATCTTGATATGGAACCCAAAGAAATTTACACATGTGTACACATTATTAAAATCCTTATAAAATATCTGATAATTTGATGCACATATGCCCAATAAACATTTTTGACCGCCATACCACATTTTTTTAACTTATTTTTATTGAGAGTCCATAACCGCTGGACGGCCCTGCCTCTCCAAAAATTTAATCAGTTCTTCATCTTGTCAATACAAGTAAAATGTTTTTTGAATTATTAAAATCGGACGCTCCGTTCTCTTAAAAACTGAATTACCGTTTTTAGCACTTTTTGCCCCGTATCTTCGGAACGGATAGACCTGCCTTCTCCAAAAACTAATCAGTCTTCTTATCAATACGAATCGAATGTTTTTTGAATTATTCAAATCGGTTGATCGGTGTTCCCGAAATCGTCGACGAAAATTTGTATCCGCACACACACACACAACATACATACATCAATTTTTTCTACGGTATGACAAAATATTCAGAAACCTTTAAAACATTAAGATATATAAATATTTTCATTTTCGATTACTATAACTTACTCTATAGGGCTATATTCTCTAAATAAAGATAAAATTCTATTGCCAAATGATTATAAAAACTAACATATTTTTCTAAAAAAAATATTTAAAATAGTATATGGAATTTGTTTCAAATTTTTAATTTAATGTTAAATATATTTTGAAGTTCAAATTTCAATTATATTTGCTGCTACTTTTAGATCTAAAACGATTGCAATAAATAAGTTACCATATAAACAAGATTTTATAGCCAAAAGTTTATAATTTTTTTTTTTGAAAATGATCTATGAAATTTGTTTCGAATTTTAAATTATATTTTAAAATTTAAATTTTATTCATTCAAATCTAAAACGTTGCAATAATATTATACTTTCGAAATTTATTCATTATTTGGGGCCATTATTACTATAATTTACAATACCAGAAATATATGTTATTAGAACTAATATTTGTAAGTATCGACTTACATCCAAGATCATTAGATTCTCGTTTGTTTATTTGAATAATAAATATTAGTATGTACTAACAAAAAGCCATTCTGAAATGAGCTCTCTCGGCTATATTCTTTTCATAAAGATGAGAAATAAGAAAAAGAAGTTATTTGTAATATTTTTTTGAAAATATCATTTGGAAATTGGTTTCAATCCTTAATCAAATATATTTCAAATTTTATTTAAATGCTACTACCATTTAAATCTAAAACGATTGCAATGAAATTGTACTTTCAAAGTATTTCATTAATTCGTGACTATTATTATTACATAATTTACAACAGACAGAAATATTTTTTATTGTAATTAATATTTGCAAGCCGATATTCATATACACTTTAACATTATAGCTTTCTCGTTTAATTTTTTCTATTTAAGTAATGAATGGATTATGTTAGCATTTCTACCAATTGCGTCTTAGAAAATGTGTTATGGAACCGGAAAAAAAAATTGACCTTTAATTTTAAACAATATTTAGAAAAATTTGAGTCTACGTTTCTTTTCCAAGTCATTTACAACAATAACTTTACAACAATAAAATATAAATCATAGTATTGATTTTTTTTAATTTGGATAGATACTGCATTTTCTGCTGATTTTTGGTAAAGATGATAACAAAAATATTCTTTTAAATATTTTGTCAACTGTATGTTTGCGTTCACATATTGCGTACAAAAATCAATTTGCATAAACCAATTAATTTTTTGTGACATTTTAAAATTAAGTGCTACTATCGAGGAAAATTGTTTATTTAGAAGAAGAAATTAGTCAAATCAAATAATAAAATTCGAATTTGAGGCCAGTATAATTTGGACTTAATATTTTTTTAATTAAATATATATGCTGGAAATAGAACTCTATTTCATATTCAGTAAACTAGAAAAAGAAACGGCAATTCTTAACATTTATTTTTTAACCATGAAAGACGCAACAGTATGCCGTACAATATAATAAATACAAAAGTAAGCAAAGCTGTGGGACAGCTGGTTGGTAGACATAAATTTGCTAAAATATACATGCCCTTGGCATGGGGTCATTACTCACATGTTTCGAAAATAATACCTGTTCAAAAAAAGAAACGAGATCTTCATTTCTAAAATATTAAATACTATCATAAATATTACTGACTCCTATGCTTTGAAATTAAAATCAATCACAATTTTTGATTAGAATTATTTATTTAATTGGCTTTAATAATTAAATAATTACTTATTGAAAAATGTTTTTGGCCTTCACATTCGGATATGATAATAGATAAAAACATTACTCGGTTATATACGTGCATATATATGCGCATTTTATCTTATATTATTGTTGTAACTATGGATAATAAATATTATTAGCGTTTGGTGCGAAGGCGTGGTATGAAAATGCCACATTTTTTCACCGCTTTTTCATTCCATTTTTATGGTTTACATTTTACATTTTGCTTTTTAAACGTTCTGTCTAAATCTTCAGTTCCTTGAATTTTTTCTTGCGTATATCGTCGAACAGCTGATTATTGTTCATCATGTTCTTTGAAATCTTCTATTATATTTCGACGTCGTAGTGCACCATTTCGATACACTCCAGGTAGTTTTTTCTATTGTCAACTTTTGTATACACACACACACAAATATATATATATATATATATATATATAAAAAAATTTAATATATATATATATATATATATATATATATTAATATATGGGTGTGTGTGTACTAGCTGACGTTAATTTTGCCATTTAAATTATATTTAAAAACTTTTTAGTTTTCTAACTAAATATAACTTTGTGTGCATAAATTTGAATATATGATATATTTCATTAGATAATATATTGATATATGTAAATATACTAAAATGACACCATTTTTTAATTTTCAGTTCCACGAAGTTCTTCAGTATCCTGTCCAGGCCCTAACAATTTGACGCCACTTCTTTTCCACACCGTCCATGGCGAGAATATTCGGATATCTCGCGACGGCACCTGCGCACGCAGATGCGAAAGTTTCTGCAAGGGGATAACCTTCTCGGCGCGTCCGGTGCGTATCGGCGAACGCGTTTATGTCAAATTTTCCGAAATATCCGACAACTGGAGTGGCGTTATACGATTTGGATTCACTTCTAATGACCCATCATCTCTGAAGCATGCTTTGCCTAAGTATGCATGTCCAGATCTCACCAACAAACCAGGCTATTGGGCGAAAGCTTTAGCTGAACGGTTTTGTGAGAAAAATAATGTCTTATTTTATTATGTGAATGCCACCGGAGATGTACACTTTGGGGTCAACGGTGATGAGAAGGGAATCTTTTTTAGCGGTGTAGAGACTAGATCGCCATTATGGACGCTAATAGATGTATACGGCAATTGCACTGGTATCGAGTTCTTAGACCCAAGGATTCAAGTCGACACGTCCTATGAAAGACCCTATACGGATTCTGAGTTCAGTGGTGTTATTTCTTCTATGCAGACATTGACCGTACATGAGGAACTTCCTGCACCGCGATTTACACTTCCAGCTGCACCATCACCAGCATCGTCTAGTTCAATGCCATTCCACTGGGTTCGAGGCCGCAACGTTCGATTTTCGGCTGATCGCACAATTGCAAGCCGTGTAGAGACCGAATTTTCACAGGGATATGTTTTCACCGCGAGGCCAATCCGCATAGGGGAAAAACTAATTGTTCATGTTATGAGTACTGAGCCTATGTTTGTTGGTGCTCTAGCTCTTGGGCTTACGTCATGCGATCCTGCTACGTTGACTCAGTCAGATTTACCTGATGATTCTGACATGCTGTTGGATAGGCCAGAGTATTGGGTTGTGACGAAAACAGCTGGAAATCCTGAACGAGACGATCGCATATCGTTTTGTGTTACTGCTACAGGCGAAGTACATATGAGTAAGAATGATGGTCCTAGAACTGTTGTAATGCATGTGGATCAGAGCCTGCAGTTATGGGCGTTTCTAGATATTTATGGCTCTACTCAAAGCGTTCGAATGACCAGCGATATTTCTCCTCCCATCGTACAACCCCCGTCGCAGCGACTGCACGTTTGTCTTTCTGCATCTAATGTGGGATCGGAATCGATGAATAATTTTAATTCGCAAGCAGAACAGCGACAAAGGAGACTAGTAGCATCATCAGGGAGATTTATTCAAATGCCTTCCACAACTGATATGATGCAAGTTCAATCCGTGACGAATGGTGGTGCCTATCTTGTTGTCAATTTACCTCCTCCGCATGCTAGCTTGTTGTCTTCGAGTAGTAATCATCATAACAATGTTGGATCAAGTGGGAAACTAGTATCGAATTACAATAATTCATATCCTGAGGTGAGTTAAATTAATTTTTAGAAAATTATTATTCTTCTTTGCCTTTGGTTTTGGTTAAAGACAAATTACTCAAAATGCGCGTTACTCATAGCAAAATTTACATAAAACTGCTGTAATTACTGATTACTAAATGTTTTGTTTTGATATATCAAAGCAAATCTGCGCTTGGCACTTTTAATCTTTTTGTTGATTTTATTTCGATAATATGGTTTACAACAAAATTTTTAAATATTTTTGCGATGATATAATTTAATTTAATCAACGTGCATTTAGAAGTATGTAATTTTATTATTTTTATTATTTCAGGCTGTTTCCTCATCATGCTCTGCGATAGACAACAATGGACCATTTCCTGGCGAAGAATGCACAATATGTTATGAAAATCCAATAGATTGTGTGTTATACATGTGCGGTCACATGTGCATGTGCTACGAGTGTGCAATACAACAGTGGAGAGGTAAAGGTGGCGGGCATTGTCCTTTATGTCGTGCCGTAATAAGAGATGTCATAAGAACTTATAAGTCATGCTAGCAGAAATGAATGTAGTTATGTATTTCAATTACAAAAACATACACATTAGAAGTATCAGTTAAAAACAATTATTAATAAAATCATTTTGAATGAAAATCATAGTCAAAGATTAATTTCTTTTATGAATATATAGAAATTGTATAAATTTTTTAATAACATGGATTGCGTATAATTTAAACAATCCTGCATTTTACAAAAATAAATTATTGGTGTAAAGTATATTGATGAAAATTGTAAAATTTATTAACAAATCTAAATAGATTAATTTCTGTAAATATATAATGTTAATTAGTGTATGAGACTTGATCAGAATTTTCATATCCAATACTAAAAACTGGCATTCAACATTACCAAAGAAATAAAATAATGTTATCAACTAATAAATCAATAACTTACTCTGACTGAAAATTTAAACAATAAGATAAGTGTGTTTTCAATTATGCAAATGAACATAAATCATCAATTATTCAATATATTTAGGTAACATTTACAACTATTATAGTAAATAAATGTTTTTTAAAGTAAATTCAATAATTAAGTGAAGCAGACTTCTTTTACATAAGTTCAATTCTTTATGTAATATTAAGGATTATAATTTCTATTTATTTTGAAATGTCAAAAATAATTTAAAAATATAATCTTAATTTTTATGCTTTGAAAAATGACTAAAATGGTCAGTAAAAAAAGTGGCCTCCTCTGATAAGTTAATTTAATATTTACTTACATATGTAAGTTATTGATAGCATTGTTTTAATTATCAATTTAGTATCTGTGATTATTAGTGTGCTATTGGAAGTAATACTGAAATATTTAAAAACAGTGGAAATTGAATTGATTAGACGAAATAACTGTTTTTTTTTTAAAAAACTATAGTATTTAAACCTGTTAGTCACATTAAAATGTATTAATATTAAGTCCAATTATGTAGATTTTATAATAATGATTTATTTATTAATAAATTTTTTTTATTTATTATATTGTGTATTTTAATATATTTATTATTAGTACCAAACAATCTGTCAGGTTTAATCACAAAGTGGCTCATATTATATTTTGAGAAATTTAGAATGGTTTTGTTAAAACTTTTGATGTTTAAGTTCTGTGATTTCTTTTCTCAATGCAACAAATTTTATAGAATGTGATGTGCGAATAACTATTACAAAAAAAAAACTAAGAAAGGGCATGGTTGCATTGGCCATAGAATATCATTTCATTCTGGATTTTAAACCATAAAAGGATAATTTGTAAAAAAACAATGAAAGATATTTGAAAATATGTGAAAGTCAAAATTATATAGAAGTAGACAGTACTATTTATAACATCTAATGCATAATCATTGATATTTTGTTCACAATATGACAAAAATGAGTTGAAAAGAGTTCACTTGCTCATATTTTTTAATGATATCTAGTCCAATGTTGAAAGAGTTTTTTTTTCATTAAGTTTTCTCATAAGTTATTCAAATAAGAAGCGAGGGGCGATTTTTAGGTCAAATGCAGGCATAAGACTCTTCGTCCGATTGTTGCGGAAAAACGTTGGTGTGTGCCATATGCATACTTCAATTTCATAATAATTCTTGTTTATATCTATGCATATAGATATCTTTATCTGCATAAGCCTTACCTTAGCCGCTGAAAAGATTATTTGAAATTGTTTAATTTAAGATTTAGCTTTCTTTTACTCTTTTTCTATTTTCTTCCACTAATCATGTGTCACCAATCTGTGTTTGAATTTTGGTTTTACTGT